AGCCGGTGCTGCAGAAGGCGGTCTTTGAGCAGGGGGGCAGAATGCTCATTCGCCTCGGAGACGCCGATGTGGATTATGACCCCAAATTCCGGTTGTACATCACGACGAAGATGTCAAATCCGCACTATCTGCCGGAGATATGCATCAAGGTCACAATCATTAACTTCACTGTGACGATGAAGGTGAGAGGCTGGGAAACTGCGGAGGGAAACAACGGGGAGTTTGATAACCTGAGAAGGAATTGTACCGAGCTTGCCTAGAGAACCTTGAAAGGCCGAACCAGAATCAACGAATAGCTAACAGCACTAGGAAAGAAAGGTAGAAATGAAGCGTGTTCAAACGTGCACGGAATTTACGGTTTGGGTTATTTTCGCGGTTTTAACGCGCAGAACGCTGATGAAATGCGTATGTGTGTTTTCGCAAAAAAGGTTATTTGGTCCTTTCTTGCTAATGAAATCGCGACGCGCCGCCCTCACGTGTGGGCAATTTGAACCACTTCATTGGAGGCGCACGTAATTAACATTCTTAAGTAACCAAAAATGCTGCAGCCCATCTTGGTGATTCTGACGCGGTCCTGCGATGCGTAAATTGCGTGCAGCGCAATGCATTTGATGGTAAGTAGTGATTTGGTACAGGGGCTCGAGGATCAACTGCTGGGCGAGGTGGTCAGAAAGGAGAGGCCGGACCTGGAGGAGCAGAAGGAGCGCCTCGTCGTCAGCATCGCCAACGACAAGTGGCAGCTCAAGGAGCTCGAGGACAAAATTTTGAAGCTTCTGAAGGAATCCGAGGGAAATATTCTTGACGACGAGCAGCTCATAAACGTCCTCAACAACTCCAAACTCACGTCCGGAATGATCCAAGGGCGGGTGAAGGAAGCGGAAGTGACTGAGAAGTCGATAAACGAGACTCGAGAGCACTACAGGCCGGCCGCGGTTCGAGGGTCCCTTCTCTATTTCGTCGTGGCGGATCTAGCCCTGATCTCTCCCATGTACCAATACTCCCTCTCCTACTTCATAAAGATGTTCAACTACTGCATCGACGTGAGCGAAAAGTCGGACGATGTGCCCGCTCGCCTGGACATCCTGGCCACCTTCGCCACGCGGTTCATCTTCACCAATGTACAGAGGGGCTTGTTTGAAGAGCACAAACTGCTGTTCGGCTTCCTGTCCTGCGCCGCGATACTTCGGCACCCCACCTGCGGCGAAATCGAGGAGGCGGAGTGGAACTTCCTGCTGAGGGGCGCCTCCGGGGTGCAGGAATGCGCGGGGAAGCCCAGCGAGGCGTGGATCACCGATGGGCAGTGGGGCAACGTGCTGAGCGTGGAAAAGACATTTGAGGGATTCAGTGGGTTCGCTGAAAGTTTCAAGAAGGATCTCCAATCTTGGAGAGATTGGTAAGGAATTTGGACGTACGCACACTTGATGCCGATTGAATATATGCAGGTTCTACCGCTGGTCTATTGTTGCTTCAGAAATGAAATGACTGTTTTGACTAGTGTAACTGAGAGAGCAATTAGACATATGAAAGATGGTGAATGGGAGCCCGTTGATTAAAGTGTCCATTCTTGATATCTATTTGACCACTACGATCTTGCTCTCTTGTAGCTACAAGAATCAATTGCCATTAATGACTTGAAGCCATGTTGCCGTTGCGGTTTTTGTGGACGAGGCGAACATCTTTATCTTCCATGCCAGAACTGCTCGAACAGACACAATTCTGCAGTCAGTACTCAGGAGCTGAATATTCAAAGAGAAAATTTCTTATTGCAAGGGGGCGATTTGTGAGACAAATTTTTCGTGCACTTGGGACGCTGTCATGTTTTTATTTGCCGTTGACGAGAAAAAGCTGTGCCGCTCATCGTTGCAGACTATGGCGAGCATGTGTACATTACGGGCGGTTTTTGTGTTCCGTATCTGTTCATTCTATCCAGTCATCACCCGCGTTTTCATGTTTGCTGCACGATTGATGTTCCGATATTGGTGAGAGGCGCCTGACCCGTTCAGGTTGGATCAAGAGCAACCTTACGACGAGGCCATGCCCGGTGACTGGGGGGATATTTTGGAAGGCTTCAAGAAGCTTCTATTGATCAAGATATTTAGGGAAGAGAAGTTGCTGTCTTCTCTGGCCTCATTCGTGGCTTGCAAGCTCGGGAAGGAATTCGTGGAACCCGCGCCATGGACACTCGACGACGTGTTTCCGGACACGACGAGTCGGATCCCAATAATATTCGTACTCAGCACAGGTACGTCGGCACTGCTTTTCTCTCTGTTGTAACTAGATATATCAAAGCTGCAGTCCCACGAAGAATCTGATAGATTTTGCGATCATCTAATCTCAAAAAAAGGTGAAACAAAACAGTCAAAATTTCAAGATAAGTTCAATTGCGCGCGCGCTGCATCAGCTCTGTCGTCAGGTCCTTCCATGCCGCGAATCACTTGTTCAATGAACGTCCCATGAACCGTATTTTAGAATTGTGATAGATGAGTGCAATTCGATTTCGACGAACGATCTTATCGCAAACGCAGGCGCCGATCCCACCGCCATGCTCCAGAGGTTCGCAGAAAAGCACGGCTGGACGCCGGGCGAGCGCCTGCACATGGTGTCTCTCGGCCAGGGGCAGGGGCCCATCGCGGAGATGATGATCAGCCAGGCCGCCAAGTCGGGCGACTGGGTGTGCCTGCAGAACTGCCACGTGGCGGCCTCCTGGATGCTGAAGCTCGAGGCCACGGTGGAAGGGCTGGGAATGGAGCGGAACGCTGTCCATGACGACTTTCGCCTGTGGCTGACGTCCATGCCGTCGCCGACTTTTCCAGTGCTGGTGCTCCAGAACGGCATCAAGCTGACAAATGAGCCTCCCAAGGGCGTGAAGGCCAACATGAACAGGATTTACAACGACCTGACGGCCGAGACCTTCGAAGTGAACTCGCCCAAGCCCGGGGCGTGGAAGAAGTTGGTGTTGGCTCTGTCGTTCTACCACGCGGTGCTGCAGGAAAGAAGGAAGTTTGGCCCTCTTGGATGGAATATCAGGTGAGCAAGAAGTCGTTTGACATTCAAACAAGCGCTAGCTGCAGGCTGCCATTCTGCAAGTTTGATGGCGCATGAGGAACCAGGGACTGGTTGTGGGCCCCCAATCTGAGTGTATTTATGTAGTAATGCGGTACAAATATCTATGCATAAAATTATTTGCTGGGGCAGTCTGTTCTCAAATCCAGACTTCTGTAACCCTTTCAACGCACAAGACGTGGAGAAACCTGCCGAAGCCAGACCCCGCCAGTCGCCGCGGACACTGGTAAATTTTGACCGTTTGGCACGGTGTACAATCGTGTGAAATTATCTGAGAATAGGGTGAAAATGAGAGGTATTTTGGAGCACGATTTTACACGATTGCCAAAATTGTTCAGTTATCCGCCCTGCGTAACAGGAAATTGGCCCACATTGCCAGCATAGACAACGCGACAAAGAACACGGTTTTACACGATTTCGACTGTGTAGCAGCGGCAGCCGTGTACTTTGCGATCAGTACACGATTTTTACACGCATAACACGGTATGAATTTTTCAGGACCGTGCAATTTGGCCGATTTTTTACTAATTAGTAAAAAATACCATTATGATGGGATCCTGCGGCCTACAGCAAAATCGCCACCACTCCTGCATGCCACTGACAGTCGACGGGCTCCCGCTCGGCAGGTACGAATTCAACAACAGCGACCTGGAGTGCTCCATGATGACCATCCGAATGTTCCTGGAGGAGCAGGAAGCCATCCCCTGGCCTGCCCTGGAATACGTCATTGGCCAGATAAACTACGGAGGCCGCGTGACGGACGACCTGGACAGACGGTGCCTCATGTCCATTCTACGAAAGTACATCACCCCCCGCGTGCTGGGAGACGATTACGTGTTCGCGCCGTCCGGAAAATACCGGGCCCCGCCAGAAGGCGGCCTGGAGTCCTACAGGGATTACCTGGCGGGCCTGCCCAGCTCGGAGGCGCCGGAGGTGTTTGGCATGCACCCCAACGCGGACATCTCCTTTCAGATGCAGGAGACCAGGAAGCTGATAGAGTCGGTGGTGTCCATGCAACCGAGGGTGTCCGGGTCCGGAGGTGGGCCGACCGCACTTTTTTCACCCAAAACGTGCGCTTCTGCAGCCAGTTGAATTTAGTTTGAGTGTACATTTCTTTACGACATGGAAAACATATAACCAAAAACAATTGTTTCTTTGGGAACGCCAAAGTTACGGAGGGTGGCAAATTTTGTCCGCCCATCTCGGAGTCCCTATGTACGCACATGCGCCAGTACTCCAGTGCTTTGGACATATACACAATGGTGTTCCAGATGATTGGTCCATCAGGCGACAATTGCCGTCGCGAACTAGCGTGAGTGATGGCATCCAGCGCGCAGGTGGTAAGAGCTTGGACGAGGTGGTTGCGGAGCTCGCGACGGAGATAAGCGACAAGCTAGGAGCCCCCCTGGACAAGGAGGGCTGCAAGGAGGGCCTTTTCGATCGCACGGAGGCCGGCCAGCTGAACTCTCTATCCGTAGTTCTAGAGCAGGAGATGGACCGGTTCAACAGGTACCGAGCATGGAATTGCGAGCGTCGCCGCCTCGATGTTCGGGGGACTTGAGTTGCTGCGCCTGCTCGAATATTCTGTTGGCGAGGAACCAGTCGCAAAACTGTGCATAATTTGCGTTCCTCAGAGTTGAAGCTCGTAGAATGGTGTGAGGCCACTAATTCTGAGGCTAGCGCGGTTGCGGAGCAATCAGGTCAAACGCGTTGCGCCCCGACGTCTCTGTTCCAGCACACTACGTGTTTGAGTGAAGGCTAGGCCTTGAAGCAGCTTTCAAGGCGGATGTTGGTACGACTAACGTTGCTTCATTTCAAGACACGTGATGCCACACGTCTCTTTTCTTTTAGATTGGACAGATTCCCGCCCTGCCCCTGCAGTCCCGAAATACGCGTTTCTGGCCGTCACACCGAATGCCCGCAGGCTCACCCGCGTGATGAGATCGTCCCTCTCGGACCTCCAAAGGGCGATAAAGGGGCTGGTGGTGATGAGCAGCGAGCTGGAGCTCATGTACAACTCCATGCTCACCAACGCGGTGCCGGACGCCTGGGCCAAGGTGGCGTACCCCTCCCTGAAGCCGCTGGCCAGCTGGATCAAGGACTACCACGACCGGATTGCCTTCATGAGGGGGTGGCTGGAGGGCGGCGCCCCGCCCTGCTTCTGGCTGCCCGGCTTCTTCTTCCCTCAGGGATTCATGACGGGCGTGCTGCAGATGCACGCCCGGAAGGAATCCATACCCATCGACGCGCTCAACTTCGGTTTCGAGGTGCGCGTCCTTTGTGAGCACATCTGCTCCAACGTGGGGGAGCTTTCATCTGCGCCGTCAAGGTGGCACTACGGGCACAGATTAACAGAGAGGGCTTCTCGGCTGCGAGATGGATTGAGGATAATTCGAAAATAAAATAGAATAAATGCCTTCAAGAATGCTCAGTTTTGGCGAAGAATCGAACGCCATACAGCTCCATGCAACAAGTCACGAAGGCACTCAATGGGGTCCTTTTGATCTCAGAAAGATTAGTGTGACAATTTCCTTTTGTGGCGCTTTTTTGTTCACGCATCAAGAGCCAAAAAATGTCCCAGCGGATGCAAATGTTTTCAGCCAATTACCGAATTATTAATTTCCGCTGTTCTGCATTGCTTTTGTGGCTGAAGGTGACGGAAGCGGAAACGGGCGATGACGTGGCGTCGCCGCCTGAGGACGGCATCTACGTGAACGGCCTGTGGATCGACAACGCGCGCTGGAACAGGACGACCCGGCGGCTCGACGAGTCGGAGCCCGGCGTAATGTTCTCCCCCCTCCCCGTCGTGCACTTCAAGCCGGTCCTGAACTACGTGCCGCCGGCCGGGGAGTACCAGACACCGCTGTACAAGACGAGCGTCCGGGCGGGGGCGCTGTCGACCACGGGGCAGAGCACGAACTTCGTGCTGTGCGTGAGCCTGCCAATCAGGGAAGGGACGGAGTCGGACTTCTGGGTGCTGCAGGGCGTCGCACTCATGTGCATGCTCGACAACTGAGGGTGGTTCATGCTTTGCGGTGTCCGAAACGGGCGCTGTAATGCTCATACATTCTCGACGAAACGCTGGAAGGGACGCTGAACTGATATTTTCATCTATTTTGTTGTTTGGGGTTTTGGGGACGTGGGCATGGGAGGGAAGGGGAGCTGGGCAGCTCAAGCCCGTTGGGAATCATGTGTCCGCATGGGAATCCGTTCGAGATCAGGAAACGGGCGAGGCGAGGATGAGGGGTATAGCAAATGGAGTTTGTGGTTCAACGGAAATATTGTATGTTTTGGGGAGGAGTGCATGGAGGAGCATCTGGGAGCTGGGGATTGCGGGAGGCTCATGAGCACGTGCCCGAACACAGTTTTGATCGCGCACCCTGCAAACGGAACACGGGTGCTTGTAAATAGACCAGCCTGGCAACATGATCACCGGCGTGACGTGAATGACAATGTTTCCATAAATGGTGTGCGGTATGCATTCTGATTCGCTGTTGCACTCTCCGTTGCCATTGCCCCGGGCTGCGCAACCCCAAACCGAAATCTTATGGGCCTTCACTAGGAAGAAAAGGGCCAAATGGCACTTTTGCAAGCACACATAAAACACATTGATCAGAGTTCTGCACGCTAAGAACACAAAAAACAACACTGACCCGTGAACTTTGTACTCGTTTGAACACGCGCTATTTGGCCCTTTTGTCCCCATTGCTTGGCGACAGTCTTTGCACGCAACACATTCTACGGAAATTCATGCAAGCACATCGCTGGCAACGGCGCACCGCAGCGTGCGCGGAATAATGACCGTTTCTCTCCTGGAGGGTCATGCAGGAATATCCCGGGTATTGTGCATGGCCCTCCAGGCGAGAAGTGGAACATGGACCATAGTTCACATTGCAATTTGAACGCATCACCAATTCATGCCGGCGGCAATAGAAGCTTTATTTTCAGACAAGTGGGTGTCGGAATCTCTCATGTATGTGTGCTCTGATTTATTCCAAACCTTGGCAATAGGGACCCGGCTCGGTTTTTACGTTTACGTTTACGCTTTTACTTTACGTTTTGAGCGTAATTACGTAAATTTGCAAAACGAGCTATTTTTGCGGCTATTTTTACGTTTTTACGGCTCCCTGAGGGCACCCAGATTACACGATGAAAGTTGCGTACAATGATCAGTCCTCCACCATCTCCAGCAACCGCAACACAATGTCCGCCCGCCCTTGGCAAGGGCGATGATGGCGTTTAACAAAAACTCGTTTTCTGCCCCTTCCAGGGCGTCTGGCTGCCACTCTCCAGACTCCGTAAATCTGTACGTACTGTCCGTATGTACACAGGGCAGTTTTTACGTTGTATTTACGTATTTTTACGCAATGTTACGCGTGAAAACGGTAAAACTATTTTTACGGGTAAAAACTTAAATACGATTAGTTTTTACGGCGTAAAAACAAAGCCTGATGGGGACAATGAACAGGCAACAAGCCAGCTGTTGTGGCAGTTGGAGCCGTTCCTGCCTCAAGCTTTTAATGAACTTGCATTTGTGCTAATGATTTGTGCCGCTGGCGATGCAAGATTGCCAAGCGGCGGCACCGTATCTTGTAGAATCCACTCCGATTCCGGAATCGTCGATTCCGTCGAGGGCACACGCCACTACGCGAACGAGACTGCACAGAGCGGCCGTCAAACAGCTGACCCTCGCTGGGTCAGCCGTACATTGACCGGTACACGCAGGACACGCTTCCCAAGAGAGCCGAGGACGGCTGGTCATGTCGTAAAGAGAGGATCGCCACAGCTGTGCAGTTGCCAGATTCATCATCACATAACCGGGGCAATATCACCGTTCATGCAAATTGCTTGTGCGGGCAGCTGAGATTTCTTATTTGTGCGTCTTCATGGTTCGCCCTCGTTCGCGTTTTGTTATTCACGTGAAGGGAGTCCTTCTGTTGTCAATTCTTTTGCCAAGAGGTTCTGTTCTATTGCGCAGATATTTTCCGTTTCTTCAGGTAGCATGCACAGTGCAGCCGTTGTGCTGCAAGAAACATCGATAACTGACGTACTAGTCGCTACAGCTGTCGTTACTGTATGCACGATCCCAAAGCGGCGGAGCATTCATATCCATTTACATTGTCAATAGCATTTTGTGATGCAGGTAGTACTAATGTTCACAGCCAACAGCAATTTACACAGATTATCGATATTCAGCCAGCACCAAAACACATAGCAGAGACAAGGTGATGTCAGCGGTCGGTGCCAAGTACCCGTGCTGACATGTAGCCACAATAAATGGCCCTTCAAGGGACATAACGGTACACTCAGCATCACGAGCCTGACTTCAAGCCAACGATTGGCTCCACGCCGAATCGTGGAATCGTGGTTTCCACGATTCGGCGTGGAGCCGATCGTTGAAACCCAGCAACATATGCGATGATCTTTCGACACCACCGCTGTCCACTTATTTCACCCAGCCAATGATGTTAACGAGAAATATTGCATCGTCTGTCAGTCAATAAAACAATTGTGGAATAACGCAAGCTAACTTGAAAGTTGCAAACTACGGGTTTGATCGTACCAATACAAGACCGTTTGATCACACTGAGCTTTGCGAATTTGTACACGCAACATGTCAGTGATTGGATTGTGGCAAAACCTAGGGTTCCCATGGAGCAAACCATTGGCGGGCCATGCTCGGGCGAAATCGGGACAAGATTTCCTGATGCAGATGACAATAAATCAACACAATCAATCAAGCCATTGCCACCATTGTGCCGCGCCCTCCCTTCAAAACAGCCGCCACCCACCCCACACCGGCATTCCTGTCCGCTCACCAATTGCGGCGGCGGCGCCGCCCAGAGAGCCCTCCTCAAGCCCTGCCCTCTTCTCAGCCTCCCCTTCGGCGATTCCCAACCCGCGTTCGGCCATGGGAACTCGACCCCGTCCTGACAGGCGATCCCCCCGATGACGACAACCTCTGCAGCGCATGCCGCCTGCCGGCTCCTGGGTCTTGCCCCGCGCAGGAAACCCGCCCAGGACGGCAGTCTGGCGCTCTCGACTCGGCAACGAGGACAGCGGCCCCAGCGGGCTTGGCGCGACCCATAATCAGAGGGGAATCGTCCTTTGCTGTCTATTGCCGTGGCCGCGATTCGGTCGATCTAGTTTGCTACGCGCACGAGTGTATGCGCGGTGGCGGCTGCCTGTCGTCTTCGCGCCGGCCGCCCGTCACATCGCCCTCGCGGGTGGGGCCTGACTGGCGGCCCGATGTGGCGCTGAGGATGGACTCAAGCCACCGCACTGAAATTAGCAAACAGGTGCAACGTTGGAATGAGAAGCAGTGCCCTGAAGTGGGGTCCTGAATGGACAAGCTTGAATGCCGTCCTGATTGGCGCTACACGGGCGTGTGACGCACGGATTGGTCTGGGGGGAAGGGATGTCCGGTTTCTGTTCTTGTTTTGTGTCTTGCATGCCGATGATGATGATACTGTGAGGGCGTCTCTCATTACACATTCGCAGTGCCCGACCAGAGCTTTCGCCCTTCGCCGGGCTCGAGAGCTGGTGCCACCAATCTTCCTTGGATATCTGAGGCATGCATTTCGATGACACTGCACCCTACCCTGGCATTGATCCATGGTTTCGTTGCGATGGTAATCTTTGTTTGCTTTAGCCTGTCTGCTAGGCAGAGTTCAGTGTTAGTTGGGTGTGTCTGAAAGAGCGGACGCACTCAGGGTGCGCATGTGGGCGTAGAAATGGGGCGTCACTGGCTATTTGGCTACTGGTAGCCAGTACATCTCCATTATTCCAATCTCATTCCAATATTCCAATCTGAATCGGAAGCTCCTGAATGGGCCCTTCAGTGGCCACGAAACTGCAATGTATGTCTGAAATGTTGGAAACACAACAGCCAATACACAGCCCCAAATAGAATCTGCAAGTTTCTTTCCTTTCTTTTGGGCACATGCCATGGATCACAGCCCATCCAGTCTATACGGTAGTGGTGCTAACAGTGCTGCCCACACGACAGGCAATAGCAGCTGTTTGTTCAAAGACCGCGTCAAAAGGCTTCGTTCAGACATATCAGTTATAGTGTGGGCGGGGATGGATGCATAGTGCCAAAATTCCAGCGACTGTTGTCCCAGATGGAACTCGCACAATGACAAACTGTGCTTGTGTTGGGCACATTTCTGCACAGCGTAGATTCCGAGCAACAGGTGCATGTATTGGAGCACCAACATGTAGACATTGCAGGGGCATGAAACGTGCATAGCCCGAAACAGAGAACTGGGAGACAGGAGGGAGCCTGCTAGACTCAGGCAAAGGAGCAGAAAATGGGCAACAAGTATCAAAGCACCAAATATAATCAACTGCTCTACACAACACCAGCCATTTCAACCGACGCTGTCCCACAACAAATGCCCAAGACTGACGAGTGGGAGGCGACTGCCCTTAATAAGCAACCCATAAGTAACATTTTCGAAGCCTATATTTTGTTCACCCATCTCCTGGCGGCTATTCCACTCTCCACTGCAACTCTCGCAGCAGAGACCACTGGCTGAGGCAGCGAGTCGATAAGCTGAGGCCATGTGTACAGGGCTCGTCTGGCCAGCATAGTGACCGACTTTGGCTCGATGCCCTCCTCCTGCATTGCCTGGAAGAGCTCCACGGCCACTTTCCACTCTCCCTTTCTCTCGCACACGTTGATCAGGGAAGCATAGACATAACTGGCACCACACGCAAAGGTCAATAGTATGAACAGATAAGAAGTCGGGATTGCAGTGGAGTGGAAGGATGACAACTACAACCTTGCATGACACCGATGATCATGATTTACTGCAGTTGGGGATGCAACAAGAGCGTACATAGAACGTTTCGCTGTCCAGATTCGAACTTCTGTGTTCAAGGGTGCCTGTCTTCCGTGGATTCCGCTGCCTTCGAGGAGACACACTGTGGGTGGAGGGACTCATCTTGGGCCGACAGTCAGCAATGCAACCAAAAAGGCTGAACTCACTCTCCATGAACGAAATTTGTTTCGCAAGGGCTTTGCTACCTGCTAATGCTGCGCCTTTTTCAGCTGTGAACCCCAGCCCGGTGGACACGTCCCAGAAACTGCCCTCCCCAAGTGGGACGGCACGGCTGCACGGCACCACATGCCACCATGATTCGCAAGCCCACCTGTTGCCGCACACGCCCTGCTGCTTCATCTCATCGTACAGCTCCAACGCTCGCTGGGCCTGGCCAGCCCGTTCACACACAGACATCAGCGCTGAGTACGTTACGACATCCGGTTGCTGATCAGTGGTGTCCTTCAGGGCCTGGAACACCTCCATGGCCGCCTCCCACTGGCTTCCCCTCCCGAGGGCACTGATCAGGGAGTTGTAGCATATGACGTTGGGAACCACGCCCATGCCCTTGAACTCGCTGAACAGCTCCAGAGCCTCCTTGCAGCGGCCCACTTTCTCGCAGGCCGTCATGAGGGAGCTCAGCGTTACCACATCCACGATCAGGCCTTTGGATTGCATGAGTCTGTACATCTCCAGTGCTTCGTCCCACCTGCAGGGGGGCGCAGGCAATTACTGTGCACCATGCACTTTGCAGTATGCAGTTGTGCCTGCCTTTGCTTGCAAAGCGCAAAGGCTGTGCTCTTGGCACATTTAAACAAAGGGTTGACGGGTTAAACACGATGGCTTGGGCAAAGGATGTCACACAATGCTGCAGAGGCAAGCTCAGACCGCAGCTGAGTAAGGCAGTGCAGGTGTCTGGGTTCGGTGGTCAGTCAGCATTTAATGACTATAATCAACCATATTTCGACCATACATGACGTACAAAATATCTCCACCACTGAAGCAGAATTCCATACCAGATTTTTACCCGTAGAAGCATAGATGGAGGGCCACATGCTTCTTTCCAGCTTCCCTTTACAATTTGCCTTGGTAGGCCACAGGATCAGACCGGATTCGGGGATAGGGGCTTCAAAGCAAGGCAGTACCTGGTCGGCAAGAACTGAGCGCTGTCTGCCTGAGCCTTACCTGCCAGCTTTCCCGCATGCTGACAACACGGTGTTGTAGGTTATGGTGTTGGGTCTCACATAGGACCCCGCACTCCGTGACTCTAACTCCATCTTGTTGAGCACCTCGATAGCCCTGTCGCACTCTCCACATCGCTCACAGGCACTGATGAGGGAATTGTACGACACTGTGTTCGGTCTCACGCCCATACGCTTCATCCCTGCGTGGAACATAGATACCAATACCAACTAGTAAGTGCTCATGAATCGGAATTGTGAAGTTACTTGCTGGTAGCCATTCACATTTGTGCCAGGCACTTTTCCATGCATTGGCCTGGGTTTCATTCATATTGAATGCGTTAGCTACAAAAGAACCAACACATCCAATGACAAAAACGTTGTTCGAGTAGCCCTGCCCTTGGCCGTCAGGTAAGCGTTAAGCTGGCGCAAACGTGGCGCCCCACATGGACCAACAAATGGACCAGCATTGAGCTGCAGAGAAACTCAAATTCCCTCGAAGGAGCTTTACACAACAGAACATCAACCCTATTGCTCCAAGGGGAACATCACACCACGCACAACTCATTAGTCACTTGAAGAGGAAAGGATAGGGTTTGTTGTAGTAAACAAAAGCATAACTTTCTCAAAGGAATCGGAAGCAAAAAAAAACAAGAGTTTCACCTCCTTCTATTTTCCTCACGGCAGTGTGAAGCAGACAACCGCAGAAGGATATCAGCAATCACCCTGCCAAAGCACAATCTATGGGGGCATGCGACTTTTGTGGGGAAAATGAAATCCAAAATGATCGCAACCCTCTCACCTGCCACAACCGCCCATGCCTTCTCCCACTCTGCCCCCACTGCACATGCAGATATGAGTGAGTTGTAGGCCTTCAGATCAGCTTGGACTCCTGCTACCTCCATCCTCTTGAAGACCTCCACTGCTTTGACCCACATTCCCGCCCTCTGGCAAGCACTCATCAGGGCCGTGTAGGTGACTACATTGGGCTTTATGCCAAAGGACTCCATTTTGTTGAACAACTCCAGCGCCTGCTCCCAAGCTGCCACGTTTGCACAGGCGCTCAGCAGCGCTCCGTATGTGACAACGTCCGGACAAACCTGAGGAGGCAGAAAAGTGGATGTTGCAGGTGTTGCTAACATCGCATAGGACCTGAAATGGCAGGATTTGTCCTTTTTTGACGAGCATAATCGATGAGAAAGCGAGCAATGTTATTCGAGTCAGGCATTGCAAGGTACATAGAAATGTGCATGTCTGGACATTATCTGGCATTGAAGGAATAGAGCCAGCCCGACACGATAGCATCTTTCCTCCTCCCACAATCCATGTCAAGTGTTTCATGCAGGGAATCTGCCAAGGGGCAAAGGAATCCAGCCATTGGCCAAGATGCATCCTCCCTTACCCTGGCCGGTGCCATGTCAGAGAAGATCCCCAGGGCCTCCTCAAGCCTCTCCGCCTTTGCGGCAGCAGTGATTGCTGAATTGAAAGCAATAAGGTCCGGTGTCACCCCATTGCTCTTCATCCTGTCAAACAACTCCAGTGCAATCTCTGCCTGCTCTCGCGACTGGCTGAACATGGAGATCAGCCGTGTGTACACAAATTTGTCTTTGGTCACATCTGCACGATGTGCATCCAGCCACTCAAACACATCCAACGCCCTCTGCTGCTTGCCATGCCAATCCAGGAGTGACAGTAAGCGTGTCACCTCCTGGCCACTGAGCTCCCAGTCCTTGAAACACCCAGGAACACACCTTCAGGTAAAATGCTGCCATTGGAGCATTTTAGGGCAGCTGTCTCTTCTTACAAGTTTGGGTTGAGGTTACCCCAGTGTGCAAGGTATACAACGAACACAAAGCTTGCGACTATCCAGAAATTCAGACAGCACTTGTTTTGCACCCCAACTGAAGGGATCAGTGCTGTTGTTGTAGGGTGATTGACAGTCAGGCCAATGCCAGACGAGACAGTACACACATCAACAACATGGTATAGAGTTTCACACTGCACCCCACATGTGCTGCTGGGAGGCTAATGTCCCAATGTGAGACACCCCATTGTAGCAGATATCAAGGTGTCAAACTGCAAAACCATACTGCAGAAACTGCAGTGGAAGAATGGGCACAGAGGAGCTTTTTCTACCTCGAAGACAGGTCCCACAGATTCAGTATGAGGTAGAAGCGCAATCATAGATGCAAGGCGCTCTATCCGTGAATGCCAGCTCTCAGTTCGGCCGAACTCCATGCTACCAAATCTGTGCCGGCTCAGACCTGACAAAATAGTCACATATCAGCACTGCTCAAAGTCACAAATTGTGCCAGGTCCCAAGCCTTGAAAACACAGTCCTCAAAGAGCTTTTGTGCACATTGCTGGAGACAGAGCTAGGAAATCAACTGGGATTCGTTGCGATGCTGAATAAGAAGGGATGCAGCCCCTGCATTGACAGGTGTTGTCCACAGATAGGGCTTTGAGCACACAGATACCCAAAGCTTGCCCACCAGGGAGTGCAGCATGGCCAACCTCTGTTACTGGGGCTGGAGTCCTTGCGTGTTGGCCACTTCTTGTAGGGCCAAAGAACATTTCCCTCACCACAGTCGAATCACTGGTAGAGGAGCTTGCTGCTTCCCTGATTCGTTCCTGTACCTGCAGGACAGAGCCAATCATAGAAAGAGCTGCATCGTAATGCACAAGTTGACAAGCAGCATCAAAATCTTCTAGATTGCATGAGTTTGCCCACAAAGGGCAAACAGCGATGTTGTACTTTCAAAACGATGTTGCCATGCACCTTTGTGAATCATGGCTCGATACATTACCAGCCACATGCGGCAGAAATTTACCCAAAGTCATTCTGATGGAGTCGCTGTTCCGCCGTCAGTGGCTTGCTTGCATCGGCTACAATTCCAGTGAATGCATCTCATCGACTGCAAGCAACGATTACACTGACAAGTACAGTAGCCAGTGTACAGCTTTTAAAGTTGTGTGCAGTGATGGTGCCATTTGTTCCTTGAAATCTGCTGTGCAGTTGTTTTAATAGGAAGAAAACATTACACTTACACCTGGCAGACGATTCCGGGTGGGAATCTTACATCTGGAGGCACATCCGTACACCAGTACATAAGACATGACTCGCTTTATTTCTGCTCCTGTCTGCCAAGCACCTGCTCAGGCACAGTTTGAGATCAGGTGCATGTAGTAACATGAACCCCAAGGATGAAAAAGGAAGGGGCTAAGTGCATATCATGACTGTGAGATTCTTGCTTGCATTTAATAGGAATGCTGTTGCCATCAACTGGGTAGGTGAAGCAACCTTTGCAAATGTGTTTTCCCACCCCACCCACTAGTTTTGGTTACCATGTTGTGAGACTCTAGGCAAGGAATGACTGGATTCCATTCCCTGCAAGGGATGGTTGGGACTAAAAGTTGGGGTGGTGACACGATGCTGATTCATCAGAAGCCTACAATCTACTGAAAACAGTACATACACATGCTATCCACACATTTCATGCAGAGAGGACAACTGCATTTCATTTCACTGTGCAGCAACCAAGCCCAGCTGCAATGCAATGCACAATATGAAGGTATGCCTTTGCCCGAGCGGCATGACAGCACCTTGTGTTGCCAATTTGCCACACACATGCTGGAGCAAACAAACATAGCAGATATGCAAGCACCTGCGAAGGTGCACAGGCACACTGTTCTGCCACGGAAGACGTGTACAATGCAATGAATCGTCACCGTCAATAGATGCCTATGCACACCCGTTTTTTGGAAGCTGATCCTGTCCTTTTCAGTTTTGTTGGCTTCTTCAATGCCGGCAAAGGTAACTCTGGCTTTGGCATGGCTTCCAGATGGCGTGAATGAGTGACCATCTGGATATATGCATAACATCTCAGTACCATCTATGATTGAAATAAACCCAGAACAGCCCAGAAACAGTTGCATCACTGAGCAGGTGAACTGGCAATGTTTTCTAATGTACAGCCAATGTGCCTAACATAGACTTAGGTTGAACTCACAGTGTTGTGTGGCAAGCCTGGACAATGTATGGTCAAGCCCAAGTGGCTGCAGGCCCGCTGCCAACTGCAAATGTGCATTCAAGGCATCGATATGGTGCTTCAACGGTTGTGATCAGTGCAGATATTCACTTGGAGGATACACCAGTCTCTCAGGCGCCTGTCTGCTAACAGCGCATATGTGGGCATTGCGCACTCTGTCATACGCCTTGAACTATCGTTCCGGCCCATGACGTTGCAGGAAGTGGTTGACAACAACGCAACTGAAGCACCCAATGGCCATCGCCCTTGCTCGGCACTCGCCCTCTCTGCCAAGAACTGAAATCCTTGGATAGCATTTGTCGAAGAAACAAAGAACGCCAAACATGGCCCTGGCACATTGGAATCGATGACGGGCATATTCCCGCCTGCTTAAGTTCACGTTGCCGACAAGGGGCCAGCTTTTGTGCACAGAGGGCGAGCGTGGCTTTGTCAAAACTGCTTCGAGTCCTTCTCACAGGATCTGGCCCGATCCCCATCTGCCAATTCCAGGTGCATCCCCAACACCATTGACGCCAAGAGCGCACCTGTTTGTGACCCCCGCCATGGCGGTGCTGCTCCGACGGGCCCGGAAGCGACGCCCGCAGCCCGGCCGCGGGGCGCCCCGACATGCCGAGCCCGAAGCAGGCCGCAAGGCACAGCGGCGGGAATCACGTCGAGCCTCCGAGGCGCTCGGAAGCCCCGCCAGGGGCGAGTTGTCCCGCCCAGGCCGAACCGCGACGTCAAGCACCCCAGCCGCGGAATCTGCGTCCACCAGTCCCGTTACACGATCAGCAGCGACGGCGCCGGGCGCCAGCAGGGCCCCGCATCTGCTTCACCTTTTCCCGCGGAGTGTCTTTTCTCTGCACAGTTAGGCTCAGCAAATTTTGCAAAGTCAGGCTCCCTGTCAGTGTCCCCAGCCCTTGGCTGTCGAGGTCCTGGGCTAGGACCTAGCGGTGACTCCTAGCTGCGTTTCACCCCAAGCCCTCCTGGCCAGTGGCGGGTCCTTCCCCTGCCCGCCCCCACCTGCCGCGGCCAAGCTTACCGGGCCGCCAGGCCGCACTTTCCCCCCGCCCGTCCCCCAAAGATGCCCCCCTCCCGCGGGGGCCCCTCCAGGACGCCCACCAGCCGATCGGTGGCGGGCCCCCCCCGTGGCGCCTCCTCCCGGTCCTATCCTGTGCCCCCGGGCGCCACGCAGCGCCGCGTGCAGTTCAAGAACAGGTTCAATGAAAACTTGGTGGGCATCTTCGTGGAGTCGCAGTCGCCCAGCGCCGTGATCCTGTGCCACGGCTTCGCCAGCCACAAGGACTGGCCGCACTACCCGCTGGTGGCCGCGGAGCTGGCCAAGCGGTCGGTGTGCAGCCTGAGATTCGACTTCTCGGGCAACGGGGAGAGCCAGGGCGTGTTCGAGTTCGGGAACTACGCCAAGGAGGTGGGGGAGGTGCGGGCGGCGGTGGAGTACGTGCGGGGGCAGCTGGGCAAGAAGGTGGTGGGCCTGGCAGGTACCCCCCCTCCCCCCCTTCCCCCCCTTGCTTGGGGGCAGTGAATGAATGCATGAGCATCCTTACAGGCAACGTGAAAAATCGGCACACCGGTTGTGTCACGTGTCTGCTGCTAAACTCAGATAGTCAGATAGCGTTCCCTCTGCTGGGGGTTCCCTAGGGCAGTGGGCAGGTGAATCGAATGGCTGAAATCGGATCTTTTCCACTTATCTTGCAATGGATTGGCCTCGTGTGGGCGGCTTGCGTTTCAGGCGGCGGGAGGGACAGGGGCGGAGATATTGCATCGTTCGTTGTGCGGTGTCACAGCAGAGGGTGGGTGGATGGGAGTCCATGCTGACTTCTGGCAAAGGTTGCTGTCCTGTTGCCGGATTGGGAGTGTTTGCTGTGTTTGGCCATCTCCTGCCATGCCACATGGGGCTGCATCGGGGAGTTGGGTACAGATGCTGTTGTGGACATTGGCATGGCCCGCGATGATGCCAGCGCAGTGGGGAAGCCACAGTGGCTGTAGTGCAAAAGGATTGAATCTACAGAGGAAAGGCACTTCGTGTGGAGATGGCTGCCATCAGCTCCTCGGTGTGAACGACATGTGAGGGTGTTTCTTTCAAGCTTGATTTTTGCAATGCCTTGAAGGCTGCTGAATACACTTGTGGCAGCCAGCTGCCTTCACAGCAGTTCGTACATACAACTAGGCAGCTCCCCAATTTATCATGTGACCAGATCTGGGCCCTTATGGCCCTGCGAACAACTGCTGTGCAGATCATGAAAGCTCATCCAATGGGATTTGTTCACAACCAACAAGGAACCTGCTTATACCAGGTGGCAGACGATCCTCATTGCTTCTGTTGCAATAAGGTTAGAACCCAATTTGGTTCAGCGCCCCATCCAAATCAAGTCCGAATGGTAACATGTGTGCGCACTTTGGGGGGTTCAAGAAGAGAAGAAAGTTTGTCTCAGTCTGAAAGCCCTGCTGGTGATTCAATCGAAGCTTCTGCTGGGAGTGCACAGGGGGATGTTGGCTGCCTAATCAGCCTCTGTTCTTATGATCGTGGATACTGCTTGAGAGAGGCAGTTGAACCAACATCAGTGTTGGCAAGATATGAGGGGATGTGATGGGCAGCATCGATTGGCATATGTAGTCTCAGTTGGAGGCTGCCTCCGGCATGTAATGGCGCATTGGACTCCCTTGGAGTGCAATTCCCTGCATGCAGGCGCAACAGGGTCCTTGCACCTTGTATGCAACAATGGGCATGTTTTTCTTTGCTCCAGAGTATTGCAGCTCAATAGTGTTGTTGCTTTGCAGAATGATAAAAGGAGGCCATACTGGGGTGGCATACCAGTGAGGAAGAACAAACAAATGCATGCACACCGACAAAATGAATGCAGCCACCTAAACTCTTGAATGCATTGTCATATTTTGGAATCAGAAGATTGGATTGTGACTGGGACTGTGTCCATCGTTGCCTTGAAGGTGCAATGTCAGTGTCTGCTGTGCCTTGGTGCCTGCGCTTGCATGTTTGGACGTGGCATCGCCTGAGTGATGCAGGGGCAGCGCATGTCATGTTTTCAACCTACTACTGCAAGATTTTGGTTACACATGGGAAGTGCTGCATGCAGGCCACAGCAAAGGGGGAAATGTGGTGCTGCTCTACACATCTCAGCATGATGACGTCCCCTTGGTTGTCAACATCGCTGGCCGTTTTGAAATGACAAGGGGTATAGCAGAGCGCTTTGGGGCTGACATCTTTCAGAAGCTGGAGAAGCATGGCAAGGTAGAGATGACACAAAGGCTGCGGCCAGAAGAAGGCGGCGGGGGCCAGTTCAAGTGGACCCTGACAAAACAGGTGTGTGCAACAATCTCATCAGTATTCTTTTGGCAACTTTTAGGTGTTTGTTTTGTTTCTGCCAATCTAGCCTGCATTTGATGTCCCTCAAGGAGGTATCGCTGCTTTCAAGGAGCTGTGTAAGTTTGTCTGCGATGGAAGATGTTGGTAGTCAGGGTGTTGTATAGACTACCAGTCACAATTCAGCACCTTTTGAACACAACTGTGCAGGATTTGCTGGCAGATCGATGTGAAGAGTGAAGAAGTGGAGTTGCTAATAGCAAAGGCAAGAATTGTGCATGTAAGGCACGATGTTAGTATTGTATTGTTGAACCTATGCATCGGGATAGTTTGACAGCAATAAGCATTTGTTGTGGCGTTGGTCGTTGGATTAGCAGCATAAAGCACTCCTGAATATGAAATTACAGTTGAACTTGTCATCCAGCTTGAAGTTCGCAGGGGCCCTGCGACCACAGCTGGCCAGGTCTTGAGATTCCAGCGGCAACGGGACCTTTCATCAGCTCTAGAAACTGTTGATTGATAGCCACCGTCACTGCCATAGGGTAGAAGCGTGGCAGCCACTAGTGCAGGTGTCCCAAGTCTTTGGGTCATAGTGTGTTTCTAGTGCAGTGCACAATAAGTCATATGGGTCAGTCAAGCACAGTTGCCTTTTGCTGTTGAGAAGGTGCTCCTGCTTTGGTCCTTGCAGAGCATGGCTGAACGAATGAATACGGACATGGAAGCTGCAGCACGGAAGATCAAACTAAGTGAAGTCCTGACAGTTCATGGGACCGCTGACCAAGTCATTCCAGTGGAAGACAGCCAGAGGTTTTCTGAGTGCATAAAACCGCATTCGTTATTCACAATTGACGATGCTAACCATAATTTCGCAAACCCAGTGCATGCCCAAGCCATGATTCAGAAAATCACAAATTTTTTTACATCGGGTTTGTGATGCTGAGAATGGACTGAGACCAGAGCGAGTGTGCCGCTTGTAGATTGGCATCTCTTGCCTCTCACAGCTAAGGAGTCAGCAAGAATTTAAGTTGGATTGGACCTGCTTCCATTTCATTCACAAACACCAATTGCTTTTTTCTCTGCATTGATGTGATAATTATATGCTTGCAAGCTTGATAATCCACCCAAACCATCCATACAGGCCATTTGGAATGCTTTGTATCATAAGTTTCCCATTTTATTTCTAAGGGTGAACGTGGATCTGATGATCTTGGCTCTCATGGCAGTGGCTGCTTGGTATGACAGATCGATTCTGATTGGTTCCCAGTCTCTCTGCTGACAAACGGATTGCAGCATTGAGCAAGGAACTGACTGCATCTATGTGTATTGATTAACAGTCTTGGTGCTGGAATAGGACCCATAGTAAGGTCCATTCTGTGTCCATTGTTGAATCTCATTCCAGGTATCCCAGCTAGCCGTGTCCTGATACTTTTATCCCCTGTATGATCTTCTGTTTCCTGGGAGGTGTGCAAAGGCATTTTTATGTTGCATGCTCTTCCATTGCATCACCTGTTTGCATCGATATGTCCAGAATGTGGAGCACAAAGCATTGGGCAAATGCCAATGTTTTCATCCTGCGGATGCACTTTGATTCAACAGAATAACATGACCTATGTTGTTGCTTTTGACCACGACCATCTTGGCTGCTGGGGTTGCATAGACTCCACATGTACATATTGCTATAGATTTGAGTTTTTTTGGATGAGCCCTGAATGAAGCCCTCTCATTGTCCAGAAAGATCACTGAATATAGGAAGGTAGAGAAAGCCTTGAATAAATCAGCGACATTCCAGTTGAATTCAACTGAAACTTCTAGCTGATTACACCCCCAAGAGTTGTTAATATTCACCATTGTGTTATCCATGAGCACGAAATTATTATCCAAGAAACGAGATTAGCTATGGTTGTTAAACATGGATGGAAGCTCTTCCTCCAAGAGGATATTGTCCAATTGATTGCAAAGATGGTGGAATGATAGTGCCCCAATGCAAGTCCAGGGTGGAATGGAATGCTTCATAAGAGCAAAACTAAGACATTCATAAGATGTTGATTGAAGTGAGGCCATTTGTAATCATTGCTTCTACAGATGCGCAACACCCTACAAGAGTATGAATCCATATCAGAAGGCTTCGGTCGTGTTGCAATGCAATGTACTTGCCTTGCCTCCCTTCCCACCCTCCCTCCTTCTTTTGTGACAACCATTTCAGCATCCCATTCAAACGTTTGCATTTGCCGTGCCCATGCTGGGCACCCCAACAATGCTTGATTCCTAGTGCTCTCCCTCTACAATTCTGCAATGCCTTGTGTTGTGATGCATGGGTGATGGTATGCACAACATAGAGTGATATTGGTGGTATCATTTTCTCCAATGACTTTTGTTTTATATTTTGTGTGGTGGGTCGACATTAGATTATGTGTTGTTATCTCAATGGACACTTTTACACAACTTATTAGTGGTATGTTGGAGAGCAACACTGGCTTTGTCCTCATGAGGGACATTGAATGGCCATTGTGAAGGTTGAAGAGCCTTGCAAGAAGGGGGTTCATATCGCCGGCCATGACTTGGCTCAGGGCAGTTCCCAGGATGGGAATCCCAGTACGGCTCGGGGGCCACAGACCCTATGCTGGCCGGGGCCCTGGCGGTTATGACAGCCACACTCGTGCAAGATCGCTATGTGCTGGCATGAATAATAACAACGGAATAAATAGTGACATACATTGCTAGGCAGCATGTTGGTCCTCACCTGATTAACAAATCCCGCATCCCATGCACGATGGCCATTGCATGACGTGGACATTCTCACCTTGTGAGAAGAGAAGGTTGTTGTCAAAAGTGTTTACAAGGATTAAAGTGTTGCAAGTGCTTCATATTTGTCAAGAATCGAGTGGAGCTAGCCAAACTGGTGCTCCTTGTATATGTAGAAACCACTGGACTCAAAGCTCTAGGAATTGGCTGGCACTATTTCTAATGATCATGTCAATGGATGTGCCTCGGATTTTCTCTGCAATATGGAGAATGTTCTGCCCATACTTGAGTATTACATTCTTCAACGTTCTAGAATGACTTAGCAAGATATATCAGATTTGCCCACATCTTTGTTCACTAAAAAATTTCCCTGAAAATATCTTTGCGACGTTCATCATATCTTTAATATTTGCTGTGATGTTTTCTTTAGTTTGGAGGGACGAAATAATTTCAAACTTGGTCTGTTGCCGTCATGCAATAGGAACTACATGGGTCTTCTTCATGACATCGGGTATAACAAGATGGAACATGATAGCTACATCGGAAATGTTTGCACTGCACAAGATGTGGAGAGGCATTATCCCAAACCTTGCTTCATTCTTCTCGACCTTTTTTAGGTGCCCCTTTGTTGTGCTCAATTTTTTGAGTTCTAGAGGTCCCAAGAGAACATTGTACATCCGTTTGAGATTTTGTAGTTTACTTATAGAAATCTGGGCTTTCCCATAAGAAAGTTAACTTATAAATGGAGTGTTGTATTCACAAGTGAAAATACATGCTAGCTGGCTGAACACTGTGATAGAATGTGTCATTAGAAGTGCATGGCCGAAATTGGAGGTGATTCTACCCAATACGGGGCTCGACCGCCACTCGGATGGTAGTACCCTTTGTAGTACACACCACCGAAGGGGTCATGAAACGCCCCGAGCGTGTCCCAGAACCCATGGGTATCTTGTATCACAGGTGCATGCACCATGGGAGTGGGTCCCCTGGACATCTAACGCGGCCCTTTGGCTCGTCCATATTCCATCTCTTGCTGTTGTGTCCTGCGCTGCTGATATCCTGGACCAGGCTTCCCAGGCCGGTACACAATTCCCCTGGGTTCCTGTCCAGAAATGCTCTCCCCGAGGGGAGGCCCTTTGGGCTGTTGGCCTGTACGCCGGGACCCCTGGAACTGCAGGAACTCAGCGTAATCCTCTTCGCCCATCACAACCAACAGTCGGGCAGTCTTAACAGCTTCTGCCCTGGCTTTTTCCAAGGCAGATTCTTGTCTTTGCACAGCAGCATAAACTTCCCTTCTTTCGAGAGGGATTGGTTCGGCCGGAGTGCCTGCTAGTCCGAGATACACAACTTCGTCATTACCAGCAGAACTCCAATTTCTGCAATGTCTATCTTGACCACAAATACAGGTCAAGATAAATGAATCAGGTATTCAGAAAATGTCCTTTACACGATGACATATTCAGAAGACGTCCCCGCTCAAGGTTCCACACTAACAGGTAGGTACTACCGGTAGGTGCACACTAACATCCATCCCTGGAGATAGTCCCCATAAAATTATCCATGCTAACCTACACCAACATCCGCCCGGTCAACCCCTAACAATGGACGACCTCGTAGGCCCTCCACCTGCCATCCAGTTTCCTGGGTGGTAGGGCCCCGGATCCCACTTGGTGGTGCACCTACTGGCAGAATTGTAGCTCTTATTTCCAATGCCAATGTGACCTACATAAACCCCACTTGGAGATGGCAACAAGTGGGTACATGCATGGATGATCGCCATCTCCCACCACATAGTGGGCTTTTTGCCTGGAGTGGGCTGCAAAGAATGAATGAAGGCCTGAATGGCCAAGTAAATAGTGGGTGTGTGGGCAATTTTGTGGGACCAAGCATGGTCATAAGGAAGGAGCTTGTGTTACGAATAGGATGTGGGTGTGGGGTTCCTGCCCTCTTTGAGCCGCGGACCCGCCTCGCCGGGCACCTAGGTCCTTACAGGGCACCTAGGCGGGACCACCCCTCCTACTCCCGTATCCTGATATGGATAAAGGTTACAGTGGGTGAGGAATAGTACGTGCCTTGGGCAGGGCGTCCCCCACACCAAGGGCCATTAGCAGGACGTCTCCCACATCAGGATGGTGCGCGTAACATTCGTCCCCCTCAGGGAGAGGGGCGTCCTCGTCCCAGTATAAGTGAATACGGGAGCAGAAACATTGTATGTATGTTGGTGGAACTGGCTGTGCGATTTGCCACATGCCCAGTTAACAATACACAACACACAAAACAGTTTTGGATGAAGAGAAAGAGTGGTTGTTTTACATGACCGTCCCGGCCTTTACAACCCTCATTAAAACTCTTCCTCAGCCAAGTGGCTGGAAATATTTGACCTCCCGGCCTTTCATCGGCGACCACGATGCCGAGTACCACCAAAAGCCCACGCCGGTACTGATCGGCCCGGTGCAGCACCCCGCCGTCGCCCACGTCCGCGTGCACGCCCAGGCGCACGGGGAAATGGCACGTAGGGGTCGGCGGTCTCCAACCTCTCCCCGTTGAGGATTGCGACGGACATGGCGTTCATGTGTCCAAACTGCGACCTTGCACGGGGGGCAGTATACCCAGTGTTTTTCTGGGCCCAGCGCAAGAGAACCTGTCAAAAGCATAAGCACACATGAGCATGTTTCAGTATGTACATCCCGTACTTCATGCAGTTTGCATTCGCATCACAGGTGTTCTGCCATTTTCGAATGCTTGAACCAATTCCTGTGCATTTGCAACTGACTTTGCTGATTCCCAGCTGTTATGCTCATGTCCATATCCCAGCCATTTGACAAGGTACTCAACATAGTTTTTGCATCTCCCACGCTTTTTAATCCTTTTATCAAGGATACGTTCAACTTCACACTCCAGTTCACCTTCGATCTCGATAGGTACTGGGGGTGGCTGTACTCTGCCACTTGCCTTATAAGGCTTAATCTTCGATACATGAAATACTGGATGTATCCTATGCATGCTTTCCGGGAGTTCTAGTCGATATGTGACAGAACCTATCCGGTCGAGGATGGTGAAGGGCCCATTCCACCTCGGTA